CCCCAAAACCCCAAAACCCCAAAACCCCTAATAAGCTGGCCATTATTGGAAGATATAATAAAAGCAATCTTAGTATGGAAGCCGCATCAAGTTTTGCATATTTGAAGGTAAGCTCAAGCGATTGATAGGTCTAGTGCTATGACAATAAGGAAGAAGAGGAGGAAGACAACCTCTCTGTGCTCTCTGATGAGCTGAATAGAAGCTTTGAGTCGGATGATGAAGACGACGATGTTGATTTTATGTGTAAGGCTTTGGGGAGTAGATAGGTTGCTTGATGGGTGTATCTTACTTTTTGTAGCACTCAATCAAAATTCAATGCAGTTACAGGAAGATAAAAGTCAAGAAGAAGGTAACTATAGGAGAGAATGTTGGTTAATTGAGGTATAGGGCTAAAGAATATCTTTCCCCCAGCTCCTTCACAAGTTCCTCAGATGATGGGACAACAAAATGTTAGAGAGTCCGCTCCAAGACGTATGTTTAGAAGAGAAGCTTGTAAGGATATTATCTTATTGCTTTAGCATCAAGTCCTGTTAGAGATGAACAAGAGCAAGAGAAGAAGGTAAAAAGCATCAAAATTTTCTATATCTTTCTTCATTAAAATTTGAAAGGTCTTATGAAGAATAGGTTATATTAATTGGAGAACCAGGATCAGAGTTCCCTGTCATAATAGAAGACCCTAATAAAAATCTTATGGTTTGCCCAGAACCTGGCCTTAGCAATCCCCATCCAAATGACCCTAACATCATGATTTGCCCTGGTGCAGAGCCTCCTCCAATGATACACGAAAATCTAGATGGAAATCTCCAGATTTGTCCTCCAGGGAATCCTCCACCTCCAAACGACCCAGACATCATGATTTGCCCAGAGGAAATGCCTTACCCTGAAGTCATCGAGAACCCAGACGCTAACATGCAGATATGTCCTCCAGGGAATCCTCCTCCATCTCATCCAACTGATCCAAACATTATGATTTGTCCTGGAGCAGAGCCTTTCCCAATTCTCAGCAATAATCCTGACGCAAATCTCCAGATTTTGACCCCTCCTCTAGCACAAGGATCGAATCTTTCAAACAACCAGAATACAGGTTCAATGCCTCCTCCCAGAATGGGCGAGAATTTAGGCTACATGCCTTCATCAAGATCTGAAATAAACCCTGAAGGCTCTTCGATACCCCTACAAAGACGAATGAGGAAGAAGAAGGAAGCCAAAGCCAGACATGCTCGTCAAGGAAGGAAGTTCAAGCACCAGATAGACACAAATGTTATCAGGCTCAAGCTCAAAGTTCTGAAAGATGATGCTGAACTAGCTGCTGGCGACCCCATCTTCTGTGGCAAATGCAATGCTGTGTTCAACAGCCACAGCACTCTTGGAGAGAAGGAAGAGAACAAACTTGAAGAAATCAAAGAGGAAGTGGAAGATGAAGAGGAGAAGGAAGAAGCCATGGAGGATTCCAAGCTCTGGATCTGTGAGTTCTGCAATCATAGGAATCATATCATGGTTGAGCCTGAGGAGATCCCGAGCAAGAATGCAATGAATTACATTATTGAGACAGAGGAACTTGATGAAGCAAAGAAGAAACATACAGGAACAGCTGCAGTGATCTTCTGCATTGATATCTCTGGATCTATGTGTGTCACCAAAGCTGTTGATGGCAAGTTCAAAATCAAGGGAGATAAATATGATGAACTTCAAAAACTCATGAAATATTCAGATGGTTCAGACCAATTCGCCTTCAATGACAGAAATGTTACTTATGTTTCTAGACTTCAGTGTGTCCAAGCAGCCATTGAAGCTCAGCTGATTGACATGAAGGCTGAGAAATCAAAGAAGAAGGTTGGCTTGGTTTCATTCAATGGAGAAGTAAACATCATTGGAGATGGTACTCAAGACTCTCAGACCATTTCTGGTGACAAGCTCAAAAACTACCAATACTTATTAGAAAATGGTCAGGAAATTGCAAAAACTCATATGTCTCAAGGAATAGAAGAATCAAGCGACCAACTCAATGAAAAGTTATTTGCTCTCGAAGAAACTGGTCCTACTGCTCTTGGACCTGCTGTTGCCTCTTCCATCGCCATGGCTGGTGAATGCGGTAATGGCTCCCAAGTCTTCATTTGTACTGACGGTTTGGCAAACATTGGAGTTGGATGTCTTGAAGAGCAAAAGGACAGCACCAATGCTGAGCAAGATGTTGCTACTTTCTACGAACAACTTGCTGACTATGCTGCAAGTAAGGGAGTTACAGTCAACATCATCAGTATCAAAGGAGAGGAATGTGACCTTGAAACATTAAGTCCTCTCTACGACAAAACCAATGGTAACGTCGAGATTATCGAGCCAGATGAGCTCAAGAATAACTTTGCTAACATGATGAAGCAAGAAGTCATTGCTACTAGAGTTGTCACAAAAATTAAGCTTCATCAAGCTCTTGAGTTCAGAAACGAAGATGAAATTGACTTGAAGGATAACAAGACATTACTCACTAAAGATCTCGGAAATGTGACAGAAGATTCTGAAATAACATTTGAGTATAAGCTCAAATTAAAGAGTGAACTTGAGAAGATTAAAGGCTTTGACATCAAAAACCTAAAACAAATTCCGTTCCAGACAATTATTGAGTATACAAAACTAGACGGAATGAAGTGTATTAGAACACTAACACAAGTTCAGAAGGTTACTGATCAGATAGATGAAGCTAAGGATAATGCTAAGATAGACATCCTTGCCATTAATGCAGCTCAGCAGGCTTCAAAGCTTGCTAAGAAGGGAGACTTCAGATCCGCCCAAGCTTATAGTATGAACCAGAAGAACTACATCAAGAGCAATATCAAGACTGATTCCCAGAAACAAGTCTATCAAGGATGGAGCCACCAAATGAATGAAATGTATGATGATATTCATATGCAGAATAATGTCGAGGAGATGATGGAAGGTGACCCTGGAATGATGGCTAAAGAGGAAGCACCAGCCAAGTCAAAGAAGGGATTCTTTTCAAAGTTAGGAGATAAGCTCAGCAAAAACTTGAGAAAGGGAACACAGTTTAATAGCAAGAATTTTAAGTAGAGGACACCTATAAAACTATCTTCAACAAGCTAAAAATTCAAAGGGGTTTTGGGGTTTTGGGGTTTTGGGGTTTTGGGGTTTTGGGG